AGGGGGAGGGAGGCTTTTGGGGCTGCCGAGCCGCCTCTCGCCAGCCTGGCTCACACCCTGAAGATGAGCCCTGCCCGCTCGCCTCCCCGCCGCCCCAGCCGGGCCCGGCCCCCCCCCGCCGGCCCCGGCCGCCGCTGACCTCTCCCGCCCGGAGCAGAAGGGATGTGGGTGCTGTCCTAACCCGACCCCAGCCACCCGCCCCGGGCCCTCCCGGCCACCCTCTTCCCGCCTCCCCGAGCCGAAGAGGTCGTCGCGATGACCGAGGTGCTGGTGCAGCCGGAGGGCAGCCCCGGCCCCGTGGGCGAGCGGCCGGAGCACGGCGTGGAGGAGCCCGAGGGGAAGCGCCCCCCCAACACGGGTGCCCGTCTCTGGGGCAGGGTGCGCAGCAAGCTGCTCCGGCAGAAGGTGCCTCTCGGGGTGCGCGGCGCGGGGACGGCTGGGGGGGGACGGTGGCAGGGACCAAATGGGCTCTGGGACAGCTTTGCTGTGTCGCCGGGCTCTGCTGTGTGTGGTGGCTGTGGCTTTTTTGGCTGGTGGCTTTGTGGGGTTGCAGGGGGCTTCTGATATGGAGGGGCTGTATTGCTTGTGGGGAGAGGGCTGTGGGGTCCGTGCGTGGAGCGAGGAGGCTGTTCGGGTGCTTTGGGAGCTCTCAGAAGCAGTTAGCAGCCTGTGGAGTGCTCATTTCCCTCCTTCCCTCTCCCTCTGTGTGCTGGGGGGCCGGGAGGGCTGAGCCGTTTGTGCTGGGGGTCCTGCAGATGCAGGGGAGCTCCCCTGCCCAGCCCTGGGGCTCACCCAGGAGGCAGCGATGCTTGCAGGCTGCCTGGGGCCGTGGCCCCAAGCACCCGGTGCCTGTGTACCCCTTCTCACCAGGACGCTGCTTGGTTTGCAGCCCCCCTCCCCGGGTCCATCCAGGCTCCCCTGAGCTCACAGCTGTGTCGCAGGCCCATCAGCCGGTGCTGCTCATCTTTGTGGCAGGACGGAGGGCAGGAATAGGCAACGGAGGTGATGAAGGCAGGGGGACAGCACCGTCGCAGGCTGTCCCAGAGCCCCCACAATCTCATGGGGGACTCCGGGGGTTTCCCTCCGCGGGGTCCCCCTGCATGGGGAGCTGCTGGCTCAGGGCTTGGCTGCGGGCAGGAGCTGCTGGGCACGTGGGGGTTTGGTTTGGCAGCAGCGGGGCTGAGGTTTGCTCGGCGGCGGGGCTGCCAGCGCGGCGGCGGGGCTGCCTGTGACGCAGAGGCATTAACCTCGATTCTGTGCCACCGCCTCTCCCGCAGAGGGGATTAAGGGGCAGCGAGGGCTGTACGGGGAGGCTGCGCAGCGGCTGGCCCCGGGCGGGGGGGGGGGCCGCCCCGGCGCCTGCCACTGGCTGTTGCTGAGTCAAAACATGAGGGGGTTTTGTTTCCCAGCTCCACACGTTCCCACCGCGGCCACTGGCTTCCCTGCCTGCTGCCAAGTGGGAGCACTGGTCACGGTGTGCCGTGTGTGCCCGCAGCTTCTTGGGTCGCTCTCAGACAGGGCTGTGAATCGCAGCTTTTTTTGAGGCTGTGCTTTGCCACCAGCAGCGTTCGCTGGTGCGGGGGCCGCTCTGCCCCCACGGCATGGAGCAACTCGGGGACCGCCTGTTCCCTGGGGAGGGAGCTGCTGGCACGGGGGTCTGGTGGGGGCATCTCCTGCCTGGCAGAGCCGGGGCAGCTGTGGGAGGTCAGGCTGGGGTGGCTGTGGGTGCCATGCTGATGGGAAGTGACCCTGGTTGTAGCAGCTCCCCCAGGATCCTGCTCCGCAGGATCGTGGCAGAGATGGCCTCACCGGCTGAGTCACTGGTTTGCTCCCAATGGCGTCACCCCTGCTGATGGTTGGGTGACCTCATGGGCGTGAGGCACAAGGAAGGGATGTGCCCAGCCTGGCAGCTCCTACCCTGCCGCAGCATCCCGGTGCTCAGGGCCCTGGAGAGCCACCACGAGGGTTTGGAGCCATCCCAGCTCCTCACCTGGGAGCGCCGGGGACCTGGCACTGCCTGGGTCTGTCTCAGCTGCCACTGCCTGCGCAGGAGCTGTATCCACGATGAACGGCTTGAAGGTGCCTTGAAGACAAAAATCCCAGGATGTGGCCTCGTCCCCTTGAGTCCAGTCGCCCCATGCATGGGACAAGCAGCAGGCAGGGGCTGCGGGAGGCAAGCACCAGCAGGACTCGGGGTGCCCTCTGCGAGCAGAGCCTCCCCAGGATGCACGAAGCTCTGCAGGGCTGCTGGAATGCTCATCGCCTGCCACGCTGCCACCTTTCGCTCTGTGACCAGGGGCCTTGTCCTGCAAGCAAACATCTCTGGATAATTTAGGAAAATGGGATGATGGCACATCCTTGCAGCTGGGACCCGGGGGTGTTTCACCTCACCGTGGATGAGCGTGGCACCGTGGTGGATGCTGGCCTGGGCGTGGATGCTGTGCTGCTGCTGAGAGTCCCCTGAGATGCAGGAGGGAGCAGCCCGGAGAGGCACCGGTGACTTGGCTGAGCCGTTTCCCCAGGCACAGGCTGGTGTTTGAAGCCAGCTGAGTGCTGAGCTGCTAAAGAGGAGCCGACGTCTGGGACAGCAGCATGTCACTTGTGCCATCCTGCACGGTGCTGGCAGGGAGGCTGTTCCCTGGGGCTCCCAGGCCAGCAGTTCCCCACCAGCCTGGGACGACCCCGCGCCATGCTGGAGCAAGGCAGCTCCCTTTGGAGGAGAAGGAGATGGTGGTGGTAGCTGAGACAGGGTGTTTGCCAGCACCGCGTGGGCAAGAGCTGCCTCTGGTACTGTGGGTGGATGCTCCCATCTGTCTCCCACGCCTGGAGATGAAGCATCGGCCGCGGCTTTGCTTACTGCGGGGAGCGGGCAGCATGGCAGTGCTGCCCGCTGTGCGGGGTGCCAGTGGTCAGGGCTAGAGGGGCACTGGGGCCAGGCCACAGCCCGGTGCCCTGCGGGTGCATGGCAACCTGCACCAGCTGGAAGGGAGCGTGGGCTGGTGGTGCCAGCTGAACTAGCTCAAATTCGAGGCCATGCTGGCTGCTGCGGGGAGCTGGATGGGGCCGATTCTGCCCAACCCGGGGCAAGCGGCTGTGGGAAGATGGTATGCTCGGGGTAAGGTCTGCGGTGCTGGCAGCAGCCAACCTGGCTTTTATTAAAGCTTTCTTCAGAGCCCTGCTAAAGCCCTTCTAGATGTGAGCTGCTAGGGCCATCGGAGCCAGGGGGACCCGAGGGACAGGGATGGGGAAGACATATGTGGTGGTTGCAATTAAACTTGTGTTGCAGAGCAGGGAGGCCTGTGGCTCCCGACTTGGCCAGGGGGCGAAGGGCTTTGCTGCCGCTGACTGGGGCTCGCAGGGTTGGATGCTGCCATGAGCTGGCTATATGTGGGGAAAAGGAGTGAAAGCCCCATGGGACAGGCGGCGTTGTGTTGGCGTTGGCTGTGGTGGGGGCATGGCAGCACCATGGGGGGATCTGGTGCTGAGGAGGGAACATGGAGGAGTTGGAGTGGCAGGGCTGGGGTTGGTGGCAGTCTGGCTGCAGCCTCATGATCCTGGCATTCAAACCTGCTGCAGGGCTCCCTGGGAGCCCAGGGCAGCTGCAGCCTTCCTCCTCCTCCTCCTCCTCCTCCTCCCGCTCCCCCCGGTGCTGTTCCCAGCAGCCGCAGGACTGGTGGGGCTGAGGCAGGGGCTCTGGGGAGGGCTCCATGTTAGGAGCCATGCCTGGGCCATGCTGGAGACCGCAGTGTTTTCCGTGGCACCATGGCCACCAAGGAGCTGCTCAGGCTCACCGTGGCACGGGGCTGGGCATGGGGTGATGCTATGGTACTGGGTCTGTGCCGAGAGCCAGGGCAGCTCAAGCCTGTCCTCGGGAGCGTGAGGGAGGGACATGAGGGACCCCAGGGTCCCCCCAGTCATGATGTGCAGTGGTTTCATGGGCAGGCAGAAGCTGGGGCAGGGAACACCAGCTCCATGGCTAGAGCAGCAGCTCTGGACATCTTTGCACTCGCCCGGAGCATCTCCCAAGCCAGCAGCTGTAGGAAACCCCTGCGTCCTTGAGGACTGACCCCACACGCTTGGCGTGAGCCTTGACTGGCAGCTGCTCACACACAGCCCTGGGAGCCCCCATCAGCCCCTGCCAGCTCCCACATCCCATCCCCTTCCCCGAGGGGACATTAGTGCCGGGCTCTGCCCCTCTGCCTGCCCGTGCATTACAGGGATCGATGGGGCCGGATCGATACCACCGGCTGGGGACAAAAAGCCCCAAAAGGCAATTGCACCCGCCTCTGCCCAGCCCTGGGGCCTGGCGCGTGCTGTGGCACGTGCTGGGACCTTGGGAACACCAGCACCTCACCACAGCGGCCGGGCGCCGGGGCAGCGTCACCGAGTCCCCTGCTAGCCCCAAAGCCAGAAATAGCGGAGCCCGTCATTCCCAGGGGTTATAAATAGCCTTGGCTATGGGGAGATGTTGTTTTTCTGCACGGAAAATGCTGCCCTAGTTCTGTTTCATCAATCTGCCGCCAGAAATAGTCCTGATTTCTTGGAAATTTCTTGCTGCTAGGGTGTGGGTTAAAGCGCTGCCTCGCGGGGGCATAGGGGGGACCAGGCAGGGAGGCTGAGCACACCCAGCTTCGGGGCACGGCCAGAGGGACCCCAGACCTTCCCGTCTCCATCCTCCTGCCACGGGCAGCACATTGCTATGGAAGAGCATGGCCTGTGCCTGACACCATCTGCGGGTCGGGGGCTTCAGGGGCCGCTGGGCTGGGGCGGCAGCGGGGCTGGCATGGGGCTGTGTCCCCACGGAGCTCACACACCATCTCTCCTCGCAGCTGGACCCACAGGCGGTGCAGACAAAGAACTGGCACATGGACGTGATTGAGATGAACGGGGTAAGCAGGGCTGCGGGGACACACAGCCCCTTGCTTTGATGGCCCCTTTCCCAGGGCTGGGCCATGTCCTCATGTGACACGGAGGTGGTGGGCCAGGGCTGGGCTGCTTGGACTCACACCGTCTCCCGCAGATCAAGGTGGAGTTCTCTATGAAGTTCACGAGCAGAGACATGAGCCTGAAGAGGACCCCGTCCAAAAAGCAGACTGGTGTTTTTGGGGTCAAAATCAGCGTCGTGACAAAGTACGTGCGGGGCTGGGGGCACTGATCTGTTCCGGTCCCTGTGGGCTTGGGGCTGGGGGAGTCGGGGGACCTGCCCCATCCTTGCAGCATGTCCCTTGCTCTCACCAACACCAGGAGAGCTCAGCTTTTGCTCTTTGCTGGGGACTTGCCCATTCCTTCGGCAGCCCCATCCCTCCCACCCAGCATGCCCATCCTGCCCCTGGCCCAGGGTTGGCAGGGCTGGGCTGGCCATGGCAGTGTCCCCCGGGAATCTCTGCTCACACCTCTGCTTTCCGAGCCAGGCGCGAGCGCTCCAAGGTGCCTTACATCGTGCGCCAGTGCATCGAGGAGGTGGAGAAGAGGGGCATCGAAGAGGTCGGCATCTACAGGATCTCTGGGGTAGCCACTGACATCCAGGCATTGAAGGCTGTCTTTGATGCAAGTGAGTGTTCTGGGGGACGGCCACCCTTCGCATCATATTCTCCTGGGAGGGTTCACAGGCATCGGGATTCCCCCGGTCCCCTGCCCTGCAAGCCCAGGGTCTGGTTATTGCGCTGCCCATGTGCAAAATGTGCTGGTGTGCCCAGGAAGGGTCTGGGGGTGAGCAGGAGGATGTAGCTGGGAAAGCAAACGCCCGGAGGTCCCAGCCTTGTTTGTGCCTTGGTGTCTCTGAGCTGCTGCCGCGCCTGGCCGGCTCCTGGGAGACACTGACTCAGGGCAACGTTGCAAATGCATTTGCAAATTGTTCCATGTCCCGTTGCCCAGCCGGGCGGGAACTGCTCGGTTCTTCCCAGCCCCAGCCTGGCTAAATGGGGCTGTGGACCCAGCAATGCTGTGCCTGCCCTCCGGCCGGCAGCCTGCCCGGGTAGCTGGGGTGATGCGGGGGGTTGAGACCCAGAGGGGAAGGAGGCACAGGAGGTGTCACATGTGGGTGCTCTCTGGACAGATAACAAGGACATCTTGGTCATGCTGAGTGACATGGACATCAACGCTATCGCTGGCACACTGAAGCTGTACTTCCGTGAGCTGCCCGAGCCCCTTCTCACTGACAGACTCTACCCTGCCTTCATGGAGGGGATCGGTAAGGGCTGGGGGGTGGGGAAGGCGTCAGTGCCCAACCGTGGCTGTTTGGCATTGCCTGCTCCGGGATGGGAGACTCCTGAGGGTCCTTCCCAGCTCGGCCCACTCGGTCCTGGCTGTCCTTGCTGGCTCCAGGCCAGCTCAGGGCTCATGGTGCTGCTCCCCAGGGTGCAGGCAGAGCCTGGTGGAGCAGGGCTGGCCGCTTGTGCACCGGCTGCAGGGAGGCATCCAGTCATGGTGGGTCCCACTTTGCACAAGATGTCACCAGCCCCTGTCCTGAGCCCTCTCCCTCCTTGTCTCCAGCCCTCTCGGATCCTGCTGCCAAGGAGAACTGCATGATGCACCTTCTCCGCTCGCTGCCTGACCCCAACCTCATCACCTTCCTCTTCCTGCTAGAGCACTTGAAAAGGTAACGGCTCGGCTTGGCTCACTGAGCAGGGCAAGCAGCGGCTCCCGGAGGGCTGCCGGGCACAGGCGGGAGGTGGTGCAGGACGGGTCTGTTGTTGCTTTGCCGTGAGGATGGGACATGAGCAGACGTAGAGCAGCTGTCTGCTTCCCGTGGTGCCTGTGTGGCCACAGGCTGATCCTGAACTGGAGGCAGATAGTGCTGTGCTGGTGCAGACTAGGGCTGCGGGCAGCAGCCGGGGCCAGCAATGGCGGCTTGGTGGCAGCAGAGTGCCCCTTTCCTCTTCCAGCCCCTCTGAGAGGGTGCAGCCCCAGCTGTGTCCCACCTGCCCCATCTCTCCGGGCTCCAGTGCGTTTGCTGGGGTCCTGGCCAGGCTGCAGCCCGTTCAGGCTGGGGCCCAGCAGGCTGTAAGTCCCTTTGGCTGGTGTGGGTGTTGGCTTCCCACGGCTCCTCTCTGTGGGCCCTGTAGGATGCTGGAGGGATCCTGGAGCCGTTCTGACCCATAGAGCAGCCCCCGGCGCCCCAGGGCCACCGGCCACGGTGCCAGCGGGGACTGTGCGGCGCGAGGCCACTCGGGCGGGTCAGCTCTGCAGGGAGCACGCGTCCTCTGGCAGGATGCGGCTCTTGGCTGCCGCAGCCGGTGTGCAGCTGGTTGGACGAGTTCTCCATGGGGAGAGCAGCTGGCCTCAGCACAGGACAGGGAATCAATTGGGAGCTGTGCGGTGTCCCCCTTAGTGGGAAAACTGAGTGCTGCATCCCTTCCCACCAGTCCAGCAGTAGCCCCTGCAAAACGAGGTGCAATAATCCCTGTAACTTGTCTGCAGTGGGTGGTCAAGACCCAGAGACGGTCAGCTCTGCAGACACGTCCCAAAGCTGCAGGTGACACCCCGCATTGCTCATCCTGGGGCGAGTGCAGCAATGCGTGGTTTGCTGGGCTTTATCTTGGCCCAGATGAAGCCCATCCAAACCTGTGGCTGGATGGGTCTAGGACTCACTGGGGCCTCAAAACCCACAGAGGGTACGGGGCTGTGGGCAGGGCAGTGGTGCAGCACTCAGAGCCTGGCCAGAGCTGGCCACAAGTTTGGGACGGGGGCTCACAGCTCATGTTACTTGCATCATGAAGCGTTTTTTTTTCTCTGGTTTGGCTAAAACTAAACAGAAAAAGTGATTGATGCTAGGGGGTGGAGAAGGAAAAATCCATTTCCATCCTGAGAACCGGGCACAGCCAGTTCCCACATCTGCTCCCCTGGCTGGGGCTCAACCGTGCAGCCTGTGCCGGCAAGCACAGCTGCCTCCTAACATGGCAGTGTTGTGGCCCTGGTTCCCTCGGTGCAGGCTGGCTGGGGTCCCACGGGGTCGGAGGGGTAGGGAGCCTTGCGGGGAGCGGGTGCAGGAGGTGCGGGCTGGTGCGGAGCTCCCCATACCCTGCCAGGGCTCGGGAAGGGTGGAGGCTCCGCAGCACATAAGCAAGCAAGGGCTTGGTTGCTGCCACATCACACCCGGGGCTCCCAGCCAGGCCCAGCAGCTCCAGCGGAGGCCATGAAGGGGGCAGAGCTCCCTGTCCTGCACCTGGGTTTGCCGGGGGCTGTGAAGGGCAATGGCAAGCCAGAGGTGCCCTGCCAGGGCTGGGAGCTGGGAAAAGGGAGATCAGCACTCACCCCCCGCATCGCCCCGTGGCTGTCCCACTTCAGGAGAACAGCGTTAGGGGCTCACGCTCCCTGTCTCCCCGTACCCCGCAGGGTAGCTGAAAAGGAGCCCATCAACAAAATGTCTCTCCACAACCTGGCCACGGTCTTTGGGCCCACACTGCTGAGACCCTCAGAAGGGGAGAGCAAGGGACACCTCACCCTGGCCTCTGACATCTGGTCGCACGATGTGATGGCCCAGGTAAGAGCCATGCTGGCAGTGTGGGGCCGCAGCCCATGCCAGCACCCTGGGGCGGGGAGCAGAGGGGTTTACCTGCCTGTCTGGGTAGGTTTGTCCCTCTTTGCTTGTCCCTCTTTGCACAGGGACAAGCTGGGACATGGCAGCTCTGCCCCTTTTTTTCCTAACCCCCCCCCCCCCCCCCCTTCTCCCCCCCCGCGCCCCCGCTCCCCTTCCT